AATCGTTTTTTTATTTGATTTCAGGTTCAAAAGGATAATCATGTTAATTATAGTTAGGCCATGGCAAGGTGTTGGCACGATGCAGCATAACTTCTTTCATACTAGATGGCAATTGGGGGAGACCGGAGAGTTCAAAAGAAACCACCATGGTGACTGAATTGAGGGCTTCCAGAAAATTTTAGGTGAGTGCAGTGTGTATTAGGACTCTTATACTAGTAGTTCGTTAGGACTCTTTATCTACTCTCTATATCATTGTTGGTACAAACTCAGTTACGATTGATATTCAATAATCAAATCCTCATCTGGTATCAGTATCCAGGTTTATTCCATGGCAGCCTTGGGAGATGATAATAACGGTTCTGTTCGCGATTCTTCCGAACGGACTGTGTCCGAGGTTGCTCCCGTTCATCCCCACCCGGCTCCGAGCCTCTCTTCGGCGCATCATTTTGTCTCTCTTAAGCTTACCGTTCATAACTACCTTTTTTGGAGGACTCAAATGCTTCCGTTCTTGGAGGGGCAGGGTCTCCTTGGTTTTGTTGACGGTACGCATGCTTGTCCGACCGGAGCAGCGCTGGTGGAGTCCACGGCGGACAGCAGCGCTGTAGCGGCGTCCGGTTCGGCGTCTTCGACTTCGGAGCAGTGGCGCAGGCAAGACAAAGCCATCTTGTCTCTTTTGATTTCATCGCTGTCCGATGAGATGATGCATATGGCGGTTGGTCGGTCAACTTTGCGTGCGTTGTGGCTGGCTATTGAGCAGGAACTCGGGTCGGCAACGCGGTCTCGTGCCCTGCGGCTCCTTGGCGAGTTGCAAGCGCTATCTCAGGGGGAGTCTTCTGTCTCGGACTATCTCGGCCGAGCACGGATGCTTGTAGAAGACTTGGCGCTTGCCGGACGTCCGATCACGCTTGATGATCAGAACATCTATGTTTTTCGCGGGTTGCGGCCGGAGCTTCGTCCACTCGTTGCACCTTTGACGCGTGGCTCTCCGGTGACGTTGTCCGAGCTTTCGGACTACCTTACCTCTCAGGAGTGGATCTATGCGGCTGGCGGTGGTGGAGTTGGATCGCCGGCGGTTATGGCAGTGAACCGCGGCCGTGGTGGCGGTCGCATGCATGGCGGGCAGAATCGTGGTGGTTCGGGCAGTAGTGGCTCGGGCAGTGGTGGCTCGGGCGGTGGAGGCTCGGGTCGCGGTGGCTCGGGTGGTATCCGAGGTCGAGGAGGCCGAGGCCGAGGCCGGGGCCGGGTCCGGTCCGATGTGTGTTGTCAGATTTGTGATAAACAGGGACATTCTGCGTTGAATTGCTATCGCATGTATTCTGAGTCGCCCGGTCCTCAGGTTCACATGGCTTATTCCGGAGATGTGGGTGGCTCTGTTGATTCTCATCAGTGGTTCCCTGACACGGGTGCCACGAATCATGCGACTCCTGACTCCTCGGTGTTAACTTCCGCTGCTGGCTATGATGGTTCTGACATTCTACGGGTTGGCAATGGTACAGGTATGACTATACTTAGTGTTGGTTCTGCTTCGATAGCCTCTTCTAATAAGCTTTTTCGTTTAAATGATGTCTTGCATGTCCCTGGCTTGTCGTCATCTTTACTTTTTGTCCAGCGTTTTGCTAGGGATAATCGTGTCTTTTTTGAGTTTCATTCTGAGTATTTTCTTGTGAAGGATCTCTTGACCAAGGAGGTGCTTTTTAAGGGGGGCGCGTCGGGCGGTTTATATACTTGGCCTGTTTCCTGTCGTAGTCCGTCTGCTAATGTTGCTGCGCGTGTGTCGTCTTCTACTTGGCACCAGCGGCTTGGTCATCCACACACACGAGTTTTGCGTCAAATTTTACAGTTGTCTGGTGTTAGTCAATTTAATTCTAGTGAATTGTCAAATGTTTGTTCGTCTTGTCAATTAGGGAAATCTTCCCGTTTTCCATTACCTCGTGTTGCTACTTCGAGTACTCGTGTGTTAGAACTAGTTTATACTGATATTTGGGGCCCCTGCGCCAATAACATCTGTTAATGGTTTTCGTTACTTCGTTTTATTTGTGGATGACTTTACGCGTTTTGTTTGGTTTTATCCTATGCGTGCAAAAACCAATATCTATGCTATCTTTGAACGTTTTCGATCTCTTGTTGAGCGTTCATTCTCACATAAAATAATTGCCATTCAGTCTGATTTAGGGGGAGAGTACAAAAAGCTCCACTCTACGTTTGTGTCTCTTGGTATCCGTCACAGGCAGTCCTGTGCGTATACGCATGAGCAGAATGGTCGGGTAGAACGTCGCCATAGGCATATAGTTGAAACTGGGTTGGCCTTAATGGCTCAGGCTTCTGTTCCCTCTCGTTATTGGGATTTTGCGTTTGAAACGGCAGTCTACTTGATTAATAAGATGCCTACTCGGGTTTTGGATAATGAGTCTCCTCATTATCGTTTACATCGTTCTCCTCCATCTTACTCTTTTTTGCGTCTTTTTGGTTGTCTTTGTTTTCCTCTGCTGCGTCCATATAATCGTAATAAACTGCAGTATCGTTCGTCCCCGTGTGTTTTCTTGGGTTATCCTGACTCTTTCCGTGGTTATCGTTGTTTAGATACTGTCACTAATAAAGTGTTTATCTGTCGCCATGTGCGATTCGATGAGGCTGTTTTTCCATTTGCTAGTGGTGTTTCTACGCAGGTTGTTGCCAAGCCCCGGGCTGTCCCGTGAGGTGTTGCTCCCGTTGTTTCTATTCCTGCGCCAGTTCTGCCTGCTAGGGAGGCGCAGGCGGTTTCTACCCTCGTGGTCCCGGACTCGGATTCTAGTGAGCGGACAGTATCTGACTGTGGGCAGGTCGCTCGTCGTGGTCGGGCGCGTCGGGGTCGTGGTGCTAAGGTTGTTGGGCCGCGATCTTATGTGATGGGCACACGGAGTATGGGTCCTAAAGATCATGTTGCTTTATTAACTGCTGCTGATGAACTTGAGCCCACGTGTTATTCGCAGGCTGTGTGGCATCCTGAGTGGCGTGATGCCATGGATGTGGAGTTTAATGCTTTGCTACAGAACCATACGTGGCGTCTTGTTCCTTACACTCCGGGTATGAATGTTGTGGGGTGTAAGTGGGTGTTTCGGGTCAAGCGAAATGCTGATGGATCTGTTGAACGGCACAAGGCCCGGCTGGTGGCTAAGGGTTTTAATCAGGTTGCAGGGAAGGACTTTTTCGAGAACTTCAGTCCGGTTGTTAAGCCTACCACGGTTCGGCTTTTACTTTCCTTAGCTTATTCCCGCGGTTGGTCCATCCGGCAGTTGGATGTTCACAATGCGTTTCTGAATGGTTCCCTTGCTGAGACTGTGTATATGCGTCAGCCGCCTGGCTATGAGGACAAATCGAAACCTGATTATGTGTGCTTCCTGCAACGCTCTATCTATGGCTTGAAGCAGGCCCCTCGTGCTTGGTTCACTCGGTTACACGACTTTCTTTGTTCTGTTGGCTTTGTTCCTTCTAAGACTGATGTGTCATTGTTTATTTATTCTGATGGTGATGTGCAGTTGTATTTTTTGGTATATTCGATGACATTCTGGTCATGGGCTCGGATCCACAGCGGGTCTCAGGTATTGTGGCCAAGCTGGCTGCGAAGTTCAAGATTCGGGATATGGGGGCTCCGTCGTTTTTTCTTGGCATTGAGACCGTGCCACTCTCAGATGGCGTTCTGCTCTCCCAGAGGCGTTATATTCAGGATATTCTTAAGCGTGCCGGCATGGTGGATTGCAAGCCGGTCTCGACCCCGGTTTCAGTTGTTCGGTCTGATAATGTTGACACCACTCCTTATGCCGATCCCACTCACTATCGCAGTATCGCGGGTGCACTGCAGTACTTGACTGTGACTCGCCCTGATTTATCTTATGCAGTTAATAGGCTCTGTCAGCACATGCAGTCTCCTACCACGGCTGATTGGAGTCTGATGAAGCGGTTGTTACGGTATGTTAAGGGCACTCTTGGTCTTGGTCTCTGTATTTGCAGGTTTCTGTATTCTGCTGTTCATGCTTTTTCTGACTCGGATTGGGCTGGCAACCCGGACTATAGGAAGTCTACCAGTGGTTTTGCAGTCTATGTATGCAGCAATCTGGTTTCCTGGTCGTGTAGGAAGCAGCGCACGGTGGCGCGTTCTTCTACTGAAGCTGAATACAAGGCCTTAGCTGATGTCTCGGCTGAGGTTACGTGGCTCGTTTCACTGCTTAAAGAGATTGGTTTTCCGCCGGTTTCTGCGCCAACTCTGTGGTGTGACAACTTGGGTGCCACCTATCTGTGTTTGAACCCGGTGTTCCATGCCCGAACGAAGCATGTGGAGATTGATTATCACTTCGTTCGTGACAAGGTTGCCAAGAAGGAGATTCAGGTCCACTTTATTTCTACGAAGGATCACTGGCAGACGTTTTCACCAAGGTTCTTCCGTCTACTCGGTTTTCTTTCCTACGAGACAAACTCAATGTTGCAGCTGCCCCGTCTTGAGTTTGAGGGGGAGTATTAGGACTCTTATACCAGTAGTTCATTAGGACTCTTTATCTACTCTCTATATCATTGTTTGTACAGACTCAGTTACGATTGATATTCAATAATCAAATCCTCATCGTGTGGACATGGCTGAAGCCTGGGTTATCCTGCATGGTCTCACAGAGCAACTTGGCCAACTTGGTTCATTGGATAAATGATCTTGATTTCTTATAGGAGGGTGGTGGACCTTTATTTAATTTGATTCTCGAGTGCAAGCACTGAATGGTAAAAAACTGGACAGTCAAATACTGCTCTTCTTTGTGAACAAAACCAAGTCGCTGATTGGCTTGCCAGAAATTGCAGGCATTGGATGGGATATGTTCTTGCTTTCATCCTGCCCGTCAGGAGAGATTGCCGAGCGTGTCGTTGCGGACAAGTTGGCTGTGCTTCGTCTCCGCAGAGACTAGCGTTTCCTGAAAACTAGATGGCAATACAGCTTAAACAGAAATTTGAAACATTGGCATAAAGCAAATTGCTAAATCTTTGCATATTAAACCGGATGATTTTATGTTAATATACCCAAATGTAGGGCCAGAGTTAAAACTCTTCATCTGTCAATAGAGGGATTCCAGAAATCTGAGAAGCCAGGAATTATAGCAAACAGTTTCACTCCCCTCTGCGAAAATGAGAGCTTAAGATATAATGCTTGAGATAACATAAAGAGTATCAAGAGATTTATGTATAAAAGTAAAGGGAAACAGCCAATGTGTTCTAATGGCCATGTAGTATTTCCTCCGGCTCCAAATCCACCCCAATCTTACGATTAATAGAGGTTGATCCAGTCAGGGGTAACTTGCATTTCTTCTGCAGTTCCACAAACCTCTTGGTGTCAAAATTCTTCTTCATGATGAGCTTCCTCCTTCTCGAAAGGAAGAGCCTCTTCAAGATGTCTTGGTATGTTGGGTCTCTTGAAGTGAACAGGAAGTATGCATAGCCTATGACTATCCCAGATGTTGTAGTGAAAAACGCTATTGGCTCCATAACATCCCACGAGAATTCCCAGAATGTAAGACGAAAGAAAAGCCCAACCTGCAGAACAGCAGCCCCCAGACCTGCCCACAAAATGCGGCGCACTTGTCTATGTGCAAGCCTATCGATTTCCTCCTTCCTTTCCTGCAGTGTCTTCAGTTCATCCGTGGAGGGATCGTCTTCCGGTAAAAGCGCAATGGGCACTGCTTTCCTAACCAGATCAACCACCTGAAGGCATAAAGAGAAGTTTAAACTGTGAAACTCAATTGTAAGAAACTTTAAAAGGGGGAAGCTAATAAAGGAAATGGAAAATTCTATTCCATAATAGGCACTTGAATGTGAATCAGAAAACCATAATACCATATGCCAATATGGTCAAGATTCAAAACATGGCATTCATTCCTCTCTATGCTAAATTAAACAAACGAAGCAGCAACTAAGGACTAGAAAGACAAGAAGTAAATCCTTTTCCAGCTTATGTCTGATCTTGACCAAAGATCGGTATGTATTGCAGTTATTTCAGTATAACAAAGAATCATGTCCTGTGCAGGATTGTCAGCCATCAGTGCACAAGGAGAAACTACTATCTGATCCAGGCATGCAAGCTTTTCACACAATTGCAATAAGAATCTGCACATTCCAATCTTTAATTTCAACCCACAATAACTTAAAAAAGTTTTAGAAAACAGCAAAGTCAATATCGAGTAACATTATCTTGCACAAGATACACCAATGGAAGACACAATAGATTTAACCAAGGATAACACAACAAAGAAACCCAAATAATGTTTAAGAGGGTGAATTACTATCTGTGGCTTCCTTTTAGTCTTAGTTATCTTATGTGCATATGGCATATGGCCATCCATATGGGAATGAATAACCTTGGCACATTGAAAGCCCTAATATATGGTTTACTCCCTTTCTACCAAATGAATTACACATTCAGTATTACCAAAGAGTGAGTCACAAAAGATACCCTGATGCCAAAATATTGCCAGAAACATACATAAATCACTTTCCATAATTTGAGGATTTAGACATTCTTAATCCTTCTTCTGCTCTCTTAATTACTTTTTAGGTTTGACACATTATGAAGAGAATCAGGTCATTGTAAGCATCCAAACATTCAATATTACAGATATACATACTACATAGCAGCAGCACATATCTTTGCCTGTAAATATAGAGGAGTAGATAGCAAAGAAGAAAGAAGAGATGCAGAGATAGAGAATACAATACCTTATCAGGATGAAGATAAACTTTATCGCGGAACAGCAAGATGACCCCGGCTTCATCGAGAACACGAGAGAACGCAACCGCTTCATCGCGGGACTTAGCGACGCCCATGGTCTCGCACGCTCTTAGAAGCTCCGAGTACACAATCACCTCCTTGTTCTCCATACCTAGCTCATTCTTCAACGCCTCCACATTCACCAATCTCAACAGCCTTTTCGCCTCCTCCGCCGATATCCCTTTCCCTTTCCCGTCCTCCGTTCCTGCCGCAGAGCTACAATAACTCGCTCCGATCAATTTTATCCCCTCGTATCCATCCCCATTCAACCGCACGCTTAGCCACTTGCTCCTCGTCGTCTTCGGCGCCGCCGGCCTACACCGTGCCGCCGCCGTCGCCGCCGAGGCGCTGTGTCTCAGCAAATTAAACGAAGTCCTCCACATTTGTTAACAATTTTATAATTATTATTTATAAAAATAGTATTATATTTTCAGGTAACATACTATAACTTATTAGTCTTGAATTCATCATAAACACATGGTTATGGCGGCGGTTTGCGGCGGAACCGGTGGCGGTGCTAATACAAGTTCTCTTTAGGTCTGGTAGGGATGTTAGGTGGAAAAAAGAGAAGAAAAAGAGAGCGGAGATTACGATAATGACGGGACCGTTAAAGACCATTTACACGGAGTTAGTGTTAGGCAGTTACATTCCGGTAAATGATGGATGGCGAATGACTCGGTAGACAAAGCATCGGACACGATTTCTGTAACAGTGAATGTTGACGGTGTCGACCTCTTAGACGAAAAGACTACGAGGCCCTTTGTTGATTTCGCGTGAGAAGATTATAGGGGGCCCGCCGCCTGCAGGCTGCACCATGCAACAAATTCATACCACATATTAATGGCTAATGACCCACAAAACAAAGATTTGGTCAAATTTATTTATTTTTGTTTTGAATTGAATTATGAATAATTAATACGGACAAATATTATAACTTATTCTCACCTGAAAAAAAAAAAAAAAGCGCAAAAGGAATCAAATAGCATTCTCGGTTCAATTCACACATTGAACTAAAACAATATCTAATTGGATAAATTTATTTTTAAAATTTTGTTCATATAGTACTTTTTTTCGGGTAAACTATTCCACAATGCTGACATAGAATTTAAATAAAAATAATCTTATTGACTTGTTAATTTATCACATTGTTGACCTTTAGACCCATTCAAACCTAGAGAGAGAGAGAGAAAAAAAAAAACGAATTCTCTCTTTAAACTCCTTAGATGGTTCTGCTGTTATAGTGTTACCATCTTTCTTTTCGCAGCCGCAAACAACACCAGCTTGAAACTACCATGGTTAAGCGACTCCAAAGGACAATGAAACAGCTGCACAACCATGCTGGTCAATGTTGATAACTCCTCCATCGTGAATAACTCCACCGGTTCCGACGAAGTCATCAGCGTCTCTTCATCTGGTAATCAAGTAGCTCCTCCAAAAGCAACTAGCAAGACAAAGCGAAACCTTTCCGAAATGCCAAGTAATCTGTTTGACTGTAAAGCTAAGTATTCGATTTACTAAAATTAGAAAAATTAATTTTTGATTTTTTTTTCTGGGTTTTCAAGATCCTGATGCAAAAGTGATTACTTTATCACCCAAGACTGTATTAGTTGCAAATATATTTGTTTATGTTTGCCCTAAAACTACTTGCATTCACCCTATTCAATTCCTTCTTGAGCTCTCGAGGATTTGATGAGAACTTGTATTTCGGAATGAATCAGAATGTTCAAGGATACATTACAAATATATATACATAGAATAGTTACAATATAAGTAGAACTAATAGAGTCCTAATACTCCCCCTCAAGTTGATGGTAGTCAAACAACTTGAAGTTTGTCACGAAGAAACGAGAAACGGGATCGGAAGAGGCTTCGTAAAGATATCTGCAAGCTGATCCTTAGTGGAAATAAAATTCACTTGAATCTCACCTGAAGTCACATTGTCATGAACAAAGTGATAATCAATCTTAACATGCTTAGTACATGCATGAAAGACTGGATTGGCACACATGTATGTAACCTTAAGATCGTCACACCACAACTTAGGCATCGAAACACGACCAATATCAAGCTCATGCATCACTGAGACAAGCCACATGACCTCCACATAAATATCTGCTAGGGCCTTGTACTCCGCCTCCGTAAAAGATCGTGTCACCGTCTTCTGCTTCTTGCCAACCCACGAGATAAGATTGGAGCCAAGAAACACAACAAAATCACTCGTAAATTTATGATCGGTGGGACAATCGACCCAATCAGAATCAGAGAACGTATGCATATCAACAGATGAATATTTACGCAGACACAGGCCAAAATTCTTGTAGTAGATGTAATATATGTTGTAAATCCATCCATTTAACACTTTCAGGGATTTAAATTTTGATTGCACCGTAACTATAAGTAATTAAGTAAAATCATGTCATTCTAATTGCAGAATTATCAATATATCTTCTTTTTTTTTTTTTTTAAGACGTTCAATTTTTTGTAAATGGCATAAGAAATTAGTTTTGTCATTTGCATAACACTTGATAAGAAAGAGTTGTTAGTCTACACAAATAGTGTAATAAATATAAGATGTCATGATACTTTGACAAGAAAACCAATAGTTATGTTGATTCAATTCAAACAAATGCAAAGATTGTAATCATGATTTTACAGTCATAATATATTAGTTTGAACACATTCTGCTTATCTAGGCACAAAAGGTTTTAATAGCATATTTCACAATGAAAAAAGGTGCTCAAACAGAGCATTCTGATTTGGGATCATTTGAGTGAAAAAAAGATGCTCAATTTAGGCAACAGAGTAAAGGAAGAATTTTTCAGTCCAAATTTTAGTTGATAATGTTACAACTTAAGAGACTTTGAGGTTGTTTTTTGTCTCCAGAGTGCAAAGATGGAAACAAAACATTCTAAAACCTTTAGCCAAGAAAAGCAATGACAGCAATAATTTGTATTCATTTGGGATCTCATTGTAGAGAGCACTAACGAGTCAGAATGATCATTGCCGAAATATGAAGCTTTCTATCTCCTCCAAAATTTGATTGGGATTCAGCTCAATCAGTCAGTAAATCTATAGGCCTCGCCGGCATTCCAATTGTTTGGTGTTTTCTAATAATATCTGCCAAACAAAAAAGAAGCAATTCTTGATAAATACCCAATGAATATGCTAAATGGAAAATGGAGAAATTGGATTAGCAATTATATACTACAAATTTGGAGGAATAAAATTTTGCCATCCTTGCCTCACGGATATAGTTTGCCACTGCTTTGCAGCCCTCTATTGCTAGTTGCATAACGTTTTCAAAAGTATCCAATGATAATTTAGCATCCATCTGCACCAAACAAAATTGTATGCAACTATAAAACCCCAAAAACGTAATACATCTATCCTCTTAATCAAAGAAAATCAGCACCGTGACTTTGGGATTACAAAATATGTGATTTAGTGTCTTCATATTTAAGATAGCAACATACATTACATAACAGTATGCATTGTTTTTTGTTTTTTTTGGGAATTTTTGAAATAAATTATGTCTAGGTTAAAAACACCGGTAACCAAGTATTACTTCAAATTAATTTGATGTCCTTGGCATAGAAAGTCTTAGGAAAATAGGAATATATTGAACACTAGAAAATCCAGAATCACAATAATGCAAATAGGGTAACAAAGCACACGACAGGATTGACATGATGAACTGAATGTATACATTTCACAACTGACATGTTTGTTTAGTAAATAACCTGCAGAAGGGTAACTTTATCCAGCTTAGGTAGAAACCCAACAGTGACATCGGGCCCACCAGCACTGTCTTCGACATAGTTTAGATCTGTTCATTTAGAAGTTTCATTGTCAAACTATTAGTTGGATGTCAAAATCAGAATGACAGTCAACTAAAAAATACCCACTAAAAATTGGTTAACAAAAAGTTGTCAATTGGTTTACCAAGAAGAGGGGTACTATTTAGGTACCCAGCACTACAGGAAGTAACAATATCACGCATAGGAATCCCTGCATCAGCAAGTGCCAATGTGGCAGCATTTATGCATGCTGATCTTGTTCCTACAAATAATAATAACTCAAAAATAAAGAGATCAATCATACAAGAAAAATTAAATGCCTTCAGATGAATTGCATTCAAAAAATCAAAGATTTGAATTTTGAAAACAATTGGTCAATTTAAAATAATGCACAGAATTTTTTACAGCAGACTAATAAAATCATACCTCCATCAGCTTGGATAACTTGGACAAAAATGTCAATCTGTGAATACAAAATTATATAAACTCAAAATATTGTACACTACTATCAGTATTCAGTATTCTATTGGGTCTATTACATAGCTATAACACTAGAACCTGAGAACGAGGCATTAGATGCGTCAAAATGCAAGCTTCCATTGTTTGACGAATAACTAGTGATATCTCAGTGGATCTCCTGCAGAAAATAAGAAAGCAATTGTCCAGATAAAATGTTTTCCACTAGACTCAACATAATGTGCTCATTACAATTTAACCAATAGAATTGTGTAGAGAATGAAGTGTAGAATTAATTCCATGAAGAGTTTAGGCATTATGGCAGTATTAAATATATAATTATAAGTTGAGGCAAAATCAAATGCAAGATTACAAGATTCTTTAAGTCATGATACTGGAAAATAAAATAAAAAATTTAAAAAATGGCAAGGGATTATAAAGGCAAAACATCAATCACCTGTCACCCTTTGGTTTCCTCATCCTATCACCCGTACTAAAGTTTGCCATGCTATACTCACAGCGAACCTAAAAGATTTTTGAAGAATACACCATCACATCATCACTGGAACAAAGAAAAACATGAATATAAACATCTCAGTGCTGATGGTAGAAGTTAAGTACCAGAGCCTGGTCATTGATTTGTTGGCTCCTATTTTGAACCTGAATGACATAATCAAAGCAGATGTCAAAATTAGCTAAAGTTATTATAAACCATACAGATTTGGCACCTTAGAACACATTTTATGTAGACAAGACTTTCTAGACTTAATCAAGACCCATTTATCAAAAAGAAAGAGATAAGTTTGAATTAATCTGGAGAAGAAACAATTGATTTTGGTGCAATAAGTAGGAAAAGACGAGGTTTTTACCTCCCTAGGGCCATACACTGCAGCAATCACTTTGGTGTTACCCATTTCAAAGACAGCAGAGCTGCAGCATTACCATAAAATTTCAATTTAGCTACATATCGGTTTCTCAAAAACAGAAATAAGAATAGAAATACATATAGAAAGAGCAGTGCCTACCCGTCAGCTCTGGCAACTGCACCTATTTCGGCACGAAGCTGCCTCATCTGCAAACGAAAAATAAAATAAAATCATGCTTATATTTACATATAGAAACGTTGTATCTTATCCAAAAGAAAATAGGATCCTTTTGGCACAAATAATAAAAGACTAGAGAAACCTCGAGAGGTCGGCGACCGTCCAAGCGAAGACCTTCGGGGCTAACGTACTCCATCGCTGAGAAGAAACCTCTGCTCGCCGGAGAAGAAAATGAGAGCTCTAAAAGACTAAAACCCTCAGTACTCTGTAGCAATTAGAATTGAAACACAATTATAAATTTAACAATACTTTTTATCACCTAAATACATAATGCAGCTTCAACGATTTATAGAATTACAATTTACACCAGGCATGGCTTCTCTGGTTTTGCAATTAACAAATATTGATAAAGAATTAAACATTAAAAGTAGGGTACCGTGTTTAGTTGCTGGTCGCCGACAAATTCAACAATACAAGCACTGAGACAACTATACAAGAAAGGAGAATAAGAGATTACTAATTGTGAATTTGAGATTGCAGATTACAACAATTTATTTAGAACCCTAAATCCCTAAGTTTGCTACTTTGGGTATGCTCAAATTTAATATCTCAATTTTTAACCGTTGAGAATGGACTATTGCTGACTGATGTGCAGCGCAAATGGCTAATCTTGGAAATTCGAACCTTAGCTATGGCTGCGGCGTGGGCGAGACAGTCAGACAGCTTCGCTGCTTCGTGAGTTCGTCGTTGAGTTCGCACTTTCCGGCTTCGACTTCGAAGAACAAAGAAAACTTAATCTTGTTTTTTTTTTTTTTTTTTTTTTTTGGATACATTTTTTTTTTTAAATAGGAAAAATGGCGAGTTTGGTCCATCAGTTATAATGGTAGTGGCGTTTCAGTCCCTGAGTTATGACCGTATCAATTTTTAGTCACTCAGTTATGAGCGAAGTGACGCATTTGGTCTACCGTTAAAATTGACGAAAAAATTAAAAAATATTTAAAATTTTAGATGTAAAGTGTTGACTCAAAGACCTTGTCAAAGTTACGTGCAAAAAGGATTCCAGTTCTATGAAGGAATACTGTCCTAAAAGGAATAGATATTGAAGAATACTAGTTCTAAGAGGAATTGTTATTGAAGATCTTCTAGTTCTAGTTTGATTAGGAATAGCATTATTATTCACAAATCTGTTAGAAGTAATTACTATAAATAAAGGTTGTCCTTTATCATAGAAATCAAGCATTCAACATTAATCTTGTGAGGTACGAGAGTCTTTGAGAATAGGATACTAAATTCCCCTAGAAAGTAGTACATGTGTTTAGGTTTCAATAGTTTGGTAGGAAAGATTATTCTATTGTGTAATCTCAGGTTCCAAACAGTGTACTTTAAATATTGAGCTTTTAGTGGATTTAGGCAAGTTCTCAAATTGAGAAGTGCCTTGCAGATTAGGGTTGTTTACCCGAACTGCGTTACAGATCGTTTGTGTTACAACGTCAGTTTCAACATCACTGTGTGCTGCGCTTCTACAAATTTTCATAAAGTAACAAATTCACATTTTATTCACTTTCTTATATTGAAACAATTTTTGCAACATTATTTTTAACTTCCTAGTATTCTATTTCAAGGTTCTTCAATTCCAAAGCAATTCAATAATCTCCGTATCACTTGTTAGTAACCTGAATCTCGTATAAGAAATCTGTGACTCAGTACAAATAAGAGAACACTTGATCATTGTCTTCAAGCATGTAAAACATATCCTGAAAGTTTCTGATTTCTCTTACTAAACATAATGGTAATCAAACCATAATTTTTGAAATACAATAAGATATCAAATTTCTCAGGTTATTTTTATGACAAATTCACCAAGATTTTATGACAAATTCACCAAGGTAGTAACTTAGATTTTTAGTATATAAAATTCTTTCGTAAGCTCTACCAGTAACTTAATCAAGAATCGTATATCTCGACAATATATGAAAATTATATTATATATGTATCCATCACTTCCTCTGTTTTCTCAAAGACCAAAGTAATGAATGAGGAACCTTAGACGCGATTATAAAAATTTTATAAAAATTTGTAACTTCTAAAAACGATTATTGACTAAACTACTGCATATGACAAAATTTTACATACTAAAAATCTCAAATTATTCTGTTGGTGAATTTATCATAAAAGCAACCTGAGAAATTTGAGATCATTTTATATCTCAAAAGTTTGGTTTGATTACCTTTGTTGCTTAGTAAAGAAAATTGTAAATTGATAGGATAGTGTGTTTCACACGTATGAAGACAATGATCAAGTGTTAAAAAAAAAAAAAAAAAAAAAACAGATCAAGTTTCTTTGTTTATGCTAAGTCTTAAGTTTGTTATACGAGAGTCAGATTCAAAGTCATATTAAAGTTATCGAAATGCTTTTAGAATTGAACAATCTTAAAATAAGAGGTTAAGAAGTGAAAAATAATGTCCTGAGAGTAATTTTGATATAAGAAGGAGAATAAAATGTGAATTTCCTATTTTATCTCTCAATTTTTAAATATTTTTTAATTTTTTCGTCAGTTTTAACAGTTGGGGACCAAATGCGCCACTTCGTTCATAACTGAAAGACTAAAAATGGATACGACCATAACTCAGGGACTAAGTTGGAACTTGGGTATAGCTAAGAGATCATTGGATCAAAGATGCAATTTTCCTTTTTAAATATATATAAAAGAGGGGCCCATGATATATGTTACCCCTAGGGATGGCAATTCAACCCGTCCCCGATGGGAAAAATTGATCCCCGCCCCGACGGGAACGGGTTCGGAGAATTTTTTCGAGGAACAAGGGCGGGAATAGGGAGAATTTCCTCATCCCCGCCCCGTCCTCGATTCCCCGAATTATATTATATTATATATATCATATTTATATTATATTTATGTATAAAATTATGTAATAATTAAAATCTTAAAGATCAAAACCCTAGCAAACACATCCTTTAGAGTTATTGCAGTACTGCCTCAGTACTCTTCAATTTTCTTATACTCATTTCCATACATTTTCTTTCTCACCCAGACAAGTAAAAATAAAATATCTATCCCCCTATACAAACACATTATGAAAGTGAATGAAATCATCTACTATTTCATTCTTTTTACACTTCCTGGACGTCTTTACTGTAATGTGCAAAGCTAGAGATTTATTTTTTCATTCAAATTAAAAATGGAGTGGGGTATCTCCGTCCCCGAAAAATCCCTGCGGGGACGGGGATGGGGATAATTCTACATTCCCGATCGGGGAACGGGGCGGGGACGGGGACGGGGACCCCACTCCCGCCCCCGCCCCGCTGCGTTGCCATCCCTAGTTATCCCTCTTTGAGATGGGCCTAAGAGGCTAAGAGCATATGTGTTTGGTAGGATAGAATGTAATTTCATCGTTTGGTCGGATGGAGTTGTAATTTCACGAAATTACAATTCCTTCTAATAATGGAATTGCAATTCCACACTTTATATAATTATAATTTTCATGCTAAATTACCTTTTTATCTTTCTTATGATTATTATTATATTATTATATTATTATATAAGAACATTTTAGACTTTATTAACTTCTTTTCTGTCAATTCTCAATCGAACCCTAATATATGAGCTAAAGGTTAGGATCTCAAGCCATTGGACTATGGGGGATTGAGTGAACCAAGGGATGAAGTCTTTAGGAGTGAATAAATGTGCCTATTTAAGTATTTATAGTGTGGGGTATTGCGGATGGTTGACAAATGTACGACATCGGCTAGTCTTTAATCTTGGTCATACGTGTGTCCCTCCACTACCTAGATACTATCGATTTTCACACAGCTAAGTAGAATATCCTGCCTTTTTAGTACATGAAATCTAGCTTGAGTGGTTTGGTGATTGTGTTGTTAAATGGGAGGTTGTGAGTTTGCAATCATTATATCGTGCACCAGGGCGCACAAACAACGTCGTTTTTATAAATTGTGTGGGGAGTTGACGCGACGAACACCTTTCTGTCCGTCCAATCCCGTTACAATTTTTTTTTTAACACTTGTGTTTTTATGTGTATTATGTTAAGAGTTTATGTGTATTATGTTAAGAGTTTAAGCGTATTATGTATTATGTTAGGAGTTTATGTATATTCTACTATACAATTCTGTACATACGAAACATAATTTTTTTTTAGAAGTTAACGGCAGAAACGGAAAACGAAATTTCTAAAAAAAAAACAGATATAAAACGACGTCGTTTGGGTAGGGCGGGGCACACAATGCATTGTGCGCCCTGATGCACGATATAATTTGCCGTGAGTTTGATACCCCTGGTAGCCAGTCGTTATATCGTGCACTAGGGCACACAACGCTTTGTGCGCCCCGCCCTATCCAAAACGACGTCGTTTTGGTGCATTGTCTAAAAAAAATCATTTGTTTCGAATGTACATATAAACTCATAATAGAATACATATAATCTAGCATAATACATAATACACATAAACTCTTAACATAATACACATAAACTCGTAATATAATAAAAATAAACTCATAACATAATACACAAACTCTTAACAGAATACACATAAACTTTTAACATAATACACATAAACTCTTAACTGAATACACATAAACTCTTAACATAATATACATAAACTCATAACACAATACACATAAACTTTTAACTGAATACACATAATGAGATTTGGTCCGTTTAAACGGACGGAGTGGCGTCCGTTATGTCAATCCCCGTCACACAACAATTGAAACGGTGGCGTTTTATGCCTGGGCGCACGATATAAATTGCCTATAGTAGCACCTCTTATAATATTTTGCTTTATACTTCATTCTTTCTTTAGCAATAAAAATGGACACCCGCTTGAGCCAACACTTTTATAGTGTCCATGTAAACATCAAGATGCCACGTAGTTAGCCTAGTTAATATCACATGAATAGTAATCAACTTAATACCACATGAATAGTAATCTACTGATTATATAATGATAGGACATTAGGACTTAATTGAATTATTATGTTATTTTAGAGAAAGTTATTGTAGCTTATTCTTCTTCTCGCATTATGAAAGCTTTAGCATTATACATAAAGTTCATGCAAACACATATCATTAGGACTTAATTGAATTATTATGTTATTTTAGAGAAAGTTATTGTAGCTTATTCTTCTTCTCGCATTATGAAAGCTTTAGCATTATACATAAAGTTCATGCAAACACAAAAGAACAAAGTACTAAGCTATGATGAGAAACAGAGTGAATTTCATTTTTGGTCCTACTGTTATAGGGGCGTTTCCAATTTCAGTCCACTTTAATTTTTTTTGTCACTTTACAACCACTGTTATTGAATGTGTTCCACTTTTAGTCCACCGTTAATATTTTCGTCAAGAGGCCGTATAATCAAATGATATTTTGGTCTTTTTATGTTTGTCTCTTCTCTTTTAATCCAGGCGTTTCATCCTCCTCCTCCGATATTCGAAGATGGCTCTTCGAACAACGAGAATCGGAAGCCAAAGCTACATCGTTTCGTTCATTCCAACATGGGCCGGCGAGGTTTCTTAGGTTTTAGGTTTAATGTTCTCATTTCTTTAGTCAAACATAGTCTTGGATGAGAAGAAATGACAAAATACCCCTAGATTACATGACCTCTTGATGGAAATACTAACGGTGGGACTAAAAGTGGAACACATTCAATAATAGTGGTTATAAAGTGGCAAAAAAATTAAGGTGGACTAAAATTGGAAACGCCCTTGTAACAGTAGGACCAAAAATGGAATTCACTCCGAGAAACACAACAACAATAATAGAAAATGACCCGAGTCTTGATATATCATTTTGCCATTCCATGGTTAACTATAACGATGCTTTTCCAACATTTTATATTGGTAGCTTCTACTCGACTAATACTCCTTGTTCTACATATTAGGCCCTTGTTAAGTTTTGGCCTATCAACTCGTTAGTTGTTTCACGCTGTCTGCACGATAGTAGCCCGAGATTTGTATGTATGTGTATATGTGTGTAGAATAAGCAATAAGAATGGAGAAGAACGCAATTGAGCACCACAACCATGTAAGTGTGTCATTTCATTAAGCCTTCAACTCTTTATATAATAATCCATACAACTCTTCAATTCTATAACATAACAATTGATTAAATAAAAGGTAAATGAAGGGACTAATATTTTAATGGCCATTATTCTAAGTAATTATAACAGCCCCTCATTAATTTATTATTAACAAGAAAAAGGAAACATAATAACTATATAGAAACTTCGCTTACTTTCTCATAAACCTTGATTTCGCTACGCTCAATAAGAACCCATGACGTATGAAAACCTAATCCCGTCATCTCCTCTTTTGAGCAAAAATTGCACACATTATTATTTATATTCTTTCGAGGGTTTTATTTCCTTTTTAATAGTACAATTTTTGTTTATTATCATGCTTGACTTTGATTTTTATTTTTTCACTTTAAACTAAACATTCCATCTTAAGTTCATAAATCCTAAAATGACCCTGTGCGGCAAATTATGTTGTGGAACTGTGTCCATCTGGTAAGATGGACACAATTTCAAAACTGTTAATAATTATGAATATATAGTTTAACAATTATGAATATATAGTTCTATCATTATGAACACAGAGTTGTGAACATAATTATGAACATATAGTTCTGTAATTATGAATATAGAGATTCAATAAATGTGAATATAAAGTTCAAAAATTATGAATATATAGCTTTATAATTATGAACATATAGTTAAGTAATTATGAACATAGAATTTTATAATTGTGAATATAGAATTCAATAATTATGAATATGAAGTTAAAAAATTATGAATATATAGCTTTATAATTATGAACATATAATTCAATAATTATAAACATAGAATCGTATCCACTTTGCAAGGTCGACACGATTTTACTGCATAAGGATTTACCCAATGCCGTATGGGTAGAATGGTTTGGTAAAAACTTTACAAAAGTGAAACATTTTATATATTCTCTACAAGACAGAAATTTCTTCAAATTTGGAACCGGGTGTGGTTTCTTAGAGAAATTTCTTCAAATAGGATTTACCCAATGCCGTATGGGTCGAATGGTTTGGTAAAAACTTTACAAAAGTGAAACATTTTATATATTCTCTACAAGACAGAAATTTCTTCAAATTTGGAACCGGGTGTGGTTTCTTAGAGAAATTTCTTCAAATTTGGAACCGGGTGTGGTTTTTTGGGTTGGGAAAAATAAAGTATGCTAATAAACGCTAGAAAGGAGGGCTTGAACCTCCGACCTTGTGGTTAACAGCCACACGCTTTAAACAACTGAGCTATTCCAGCTTTGTTGATACAAAATATGATTAATATTCTATAGTTCTCGGACAATCAAAGCAAACCATTTAGAGGAGATGCAATCCGATTGAGCTTAATATGCATCATAATCTAATTTCTATACTCCGTATATATTATGTCAGAATGTACAGAGTTATTTGAAATTGAATTGTTTTATTTGTTTCATTTTAGTTTACATATATGCTAATAATGAGTGATAATAATATGATGATACGTGCTTATCAAATTTAGTCAATGATATTTAAATTTTATTTTGAATATTCAAAATTTTGTATTAAACTTTTTGAGTTTTAATTTGAAATTTGGATGGTGTGAATAATAATTAGAAATAGTAATCAATCGGGTAACATGGGTTATCCGATTTTCCCAAATCTTAAGAGGACAAATTCAAGTAGTTGATAATCACAATTGAGACAAGTTTGAATATTAGTAAAACTCGCATATTCAACACTATATTGAGGTTATTTAATATATACATAATAGATTTATAAATAAATAAATATTTTAATTGAGTGTCTTGTATTTACATTAGGAGGTATTTTTTTGGATGGTACTGGCTCTGTTACATTGTAGTATCTGTTCATATACTTTCTCGAAACACAAAGAACCAATAACCAATAACGCCTCCACCGAGGCTCAAACTCACAACCTTCCAAATGGAAGTCCAACCCAAATACCATTAGACCACATAGTCCTGGTGGATTACGTCCTATCTGATTGTATTAGTTCTCTTATGCTTAGTATGCAGTAATAATATCTATTTGGTTTTTGATTAATTGAGTTATATTTTTTTTTTTGTTTTTTTGTTTTTTTTTTTGTTTTTTTAAGATCTATTTCGTTTTTGGCTGAAAAAAATAATAATTTATTATGATTAATTAATATTGAGTTAATACTCAAAATTGTTCTCGACTATAGTATTTTTTCTCAATTTTGTCCTAAACAATTTTGATGTTATAATCTAGTCCCAGACTTTTGTGTTATTGCTTAATATTGTCATTCGTTAGGTAATCCGTTAAAAGGGTGTTAAATACAGGGATAACTTAGTAATTTCAAATGAGTTAATACCTAAAATCGTCATCGACTATAGTGGTTTTTGTCAATTTTGTCCTAAACGACTTTAGTGTCATAAACTAGTCTCGGACTTTTGTGTTATTGCTCAATATTCTCCTTCGTAGGTATTCCATCAAAAGGGTGTTAAGTACAGGGATAAATTAGTAATTTCAAATTTTGATCTTCGAATCTTTCCTCTTTCCGAGTTTACTACGGGGATGTTTCCGTGCCGTTTGTTTGAGAGTCGCAGACAGGAACTCCCAAGCACAGATTCACCGACGACGGCGCCGCGATCTGCCATCCGCTCACTCTTCTTCCCTCTTATTACTACAATTCCAAAATGACGGTGCCCAGGTGAGTCTCCGAAGAACCAAATTAGCCGATGCCACGCCGTCACTCTCCCTCGCACCGTCTTTCTCCTCCTCCTCCTCCCTCTCCTCATTCTCCGCCACGCCCACGCCTTCTAGCTTCCGTGGCTGGCGAGCGCGACGATTTTCTGGCTCCGGCTCCTCCTTCGATAAGGGCATGGAAGACCTAAATTTGAAATTATTAATTTGACCCATTTTAACGGATTACCTAATGAAGGACAATATTGAGCAATAACGCAAAAGTCTGGGATTAGTTTATGACACCAAAATTGTTTATAACAAAATTGAGAAAAACTACTATAATCGAGGAGAATTTTAAGTATTAACTAGACTAATATTATATTATGTGAGAATCAATCAAAAGTATAAGGTAAGTTTGATTGTTGTCTTGGACAAGAGCAGCTAGTTAATTAGTTGAATAGTTGATGATGTTCAAAATTCTGAGATCCACTCATGCGTCATCAACACCTTACAATCGTCCTCATCCACACATGTACTTGGGTTCTTGTATAGTAATCATGCTTGCTTGATTCATTTCTCCTCCACTGTCTCCACTTCCCTGGTAAGCAACTAATTCTCCATATTGGATGAATTAATGTAAATAAAAACGAGAAATCAGTTTCTACGCAGGCATCCTGCTTGATGGCTTCTTTCAACCTCTCACTTTCCCTTGACAATTCATTTGAATCCAAGAAGCTCAACAATTTCAGGGTAAATTCTCTTCAGTTGACTGATCGTTGTTGTTTTCCGCCGTTTTCCGGTTATATTCATTTAACTGGTGCATTTGTAGTGAACCCAATTTGTAATTTAAATCCCATTAGGGTTTGCCGAACATTCACTGATGTTTCGGATAAGTCTGAATTGGGTCTGGAAGAAGATAATGTGATTGGTTCCACTAGTGAGGATTTGGGGAATGAGGGTTCTACTTTGGAAAGTTTGAATTCAAATTCGGGTTTCCGAAAAGGGAAGTTTGATATTTGGAAGAAGAGGTTTAAAAGTGCAAAGAAAGTAAGCAATGACTTGAATACGAGGCGGAGTTTTAGGAGGAAAGATTGTGAACTTGGAAATGAACTAGATGTGAGAATTGGATGTGATGTGGAAAGTCCTGAATGTGGAGTAAATAGTGAAAATGTAGTTGATTTTGATGTTAACGTCATTAGGCTTGACTTGAGTTTAGAGGAGTGTAATGCAGAGTTGAAGCTGCTCGAGAAGTGTAGTGATAGGAAAGTTTTAAAATTTTTTGAGTGGATGAAAATAAATGGAAAGTTGAAGCGAAATGTTACTGCTTATGATTTAATTTTTCGGGTTTTGGGGAGGAGAGAAGATTGGGGTGAAGTTGAAGCAGTGATCAAAGAAATGATTTCCGAGTCAGGCTGTGAGATTAATTATCAAGTTTTCAATACACTTATCTATACTTGTCAAAAGAAAGGGCTTGTGGAGTTGGGTTCTAAGTGGTTCCACATGATGTTGGAGAATGGGGTTCGGCCTAATGCTGCTACTATTGGGATGCTAATGAGCCTTTACCAGAAACGTTGGAATATTGAGGAAGCAGAATTTACATTCTCAAAGATGAGGGATCTTAAAATAAGCTGCCAATCTGCATACTCAGCTATGATTACAATATACACGAGATCTGGCTTGTATAGTAAAGCTGAAGATGTAATTGGCTTCTTGAGAGAAGATGAAGTGGTCTTGAATCAGGAGAATTGGTTGGTTCTGCTTAACACTTATAGTCAACAGGGCAAGATGCATAAAGCTGAAGAGATCTTGGCTTTAATGTTCAAAGCTGGTTTCAGCCCAAACATAGTTGCATACAACACATTGATCACTGGATATGGCAAGGCATCAAATATGGATGCTGCCCAGTGCTTGTTTGAGGACCTCAAAAGATTTGGAGTGGATCCAGATGAAACAACTTATAGGTCCATGATTGAAGGTTGGGGTCGGGCAAACAATTACAAGCAGGCAGAGAGGTATTTTGCAGAACTCAAAAGCATTGGGTACAAGCCTAACTCATCTAACTTGTACACAATGCTAAATTTGCAAGCTAGACATGGAGGAGAAGAGGGTGCCATAAGGATTATTGATGAAATGGTGATGATTGGTTGCCAAAAATCTTCCATCCTTGCCATTCTTTTACAAATATATGAGAAGGTTGAACATGTTGATAAAGTGCCTTTGGTTTTGAAGGGCTCTCTGTATGACCATGTCCTAAAAAATCAGACGTCGTGTTCAACTCTTCTCATGGCTTATGTAAAAAATGGCATGATAACTGATGCGCTGAAAATTTTAAATGAAAAGCTGTGGGATGATTCTGAATTTGAGGACAACTTATACCATTTACTAATTTGCTTATGCAAAGATTTTGGTCATCCAGAGAATGCCGTCAAGATATTCACTTGCATGCCAAAATCTGATATGCCTAATTTGCACATAATATGCACAATGATTGACATTTACAGTTCAAAGAACTTGTTCACTGAGGCTGAAAATCTTTACTTAGAGCTAAATACTTCAGGTATTGCCTTGGACATGATAGCCTTCAGTGTTGTGGTAAGAATGTATGTCAAATCTGGAGCTTTAGAAAAAGCATGTGCTGTTTTGGACATCATGGACAAGCAAAACAACATTGTTCCAGATGTGTATCTGCTTCGATATATGCTTCGAATTTATCAGAGGTGCAACTTGAATGACAAATTGGCAGATCTTTATTATAGAATTCTGAAAAGTGGAGTTGTTTGGGATGAGGAGATGTACAACTGTGTCATAAATTGTTGTGCCCGAGCATTGCCAGTTGATGAGCTTTCAAGACTTTTCTTCGAGATGATTCATCAAGGATACTCACCCAATACAGTGACATTCAATGTTATGCTAGATGTTCTTGGTAAATCTGGACTTCTTGGAAAGGCAAGGAAAGTTTTCAACATGGCTCAAAAGCGTGGTCTAGTTGATGCCATCTCTTACAACACACTCATAGCTGCATATGGCAAAGGTAAGGACCTCGACAATATGGCATTGACTGTGAGGAAAATGCACTTCAGAGGCTTTACGGTCACTCTTGAAGCGTACAATTGTATGTTGGATGCCTATGGGAAAGAAGGCCAAATGGAGAAGTTCCGTGATGCTTTACTGAGAATGAAGGAATCTGGTTGTGCATCTGATCATTACACCTACAACATTATGATTAATATTTATGGAACAAAAGGTTGGATTGACGAAGTTTCTGGCATTTTAATGGAACTAAAAGATTCTGGATTTGGACCTGATTTGTGCAGCTATAACACTTTAATAAAGGCATATGGGATTGCTGGAATGGTTGAGGATGCTGTGGCTTTGATCAAGGAAATGAGAGAAAATGGAATAGAACCAGACCAAATAACTTACACTAACCTCATCACTGCATTGCAACGGAATGATATGTTCCTGGAGGCTGTGAGATGGTCCCTGTGGATGAAGCAGATAGGGGTCTAATACCACTGCACATAATATTACTCTTTTGTTATAACAGTGTGCCTCTGCTATTTATTGACATCCAACAATCCCGGGCTCAAGCTTACCATCCAACAGACCAATAAACCTTTTCAGAGGAAGCTGGCTTGCAAACATTACCAATGCATTTATATATACAGATAAGGATGACCAAAGGCATGGTAAGCACCTCTTCTTCAGCTTGGTTCCTAATAAATATTAGGAACACCATGTTATGTTAACACAAGGTTTTCCTTTTTATTCGTCCACAAAGATTTGAATGAGAATGTTTTTTTACAAGTACGGTTTAAAAGATAGATATTCTTCATAAAGCAAGAAAGACGTTCTATTAAAAAAATCTAAGATTGGGTCAGTGTCACTGAATTGGGCTATAATGCACATGGGTCAAACTACACTAAAAGACTGAATCTAATCTATTAGCTCATAGTCTTATAAACCCATATGCTCTCTCTAATTTTATCAATGTAGGACTCTTAACAAAGGCCATAACATTACCCTGCCATTTAGTTGTTTCTATGATAGATACTAGAAATGTTAAAATTGTTATCGATTCTTTTGCTCTTTGTAGCTAACCTCATCCATCTGAGGGATTGTTATTTAATTTTTTAGGTTGCCATACCAGAGCTGCACTATAGTTTGGAATTGACTGTGCAGAAAGCAAAGAAAATGAGGCAAGAGAGACATTCTCAAAGATGTGATGGTGAGCTCAAACGCCGTGCAATCCCATCATAACACACAAAATATTACGTTAACCTGCAACTTCTCTTGCTGCTGCCTTGATTCTTTTTATTGAGTTGACATATGAATCAACAACGTATATACAAGGAGGGAGTGAAGGTTTTGGCCCTTTTTTTTTTTTTTTTTATCCAACTTGTTTGTATCTTGTGTTTTACTTGTACTAATAAATGTTGTATTGCTATTTTCAAAAGAAAAGAAAATGTTGTATTGCTTCTCGCCATTTGGTGTTTTAAGTGAGTGTTGAGCTTTCGTAACACGAACAATTATTGTACGTCTCTGTGTTATATTCTGACTTGAATAGAAATTTCATGAACGAGTTGAAGACTGAAGAGCGATTTGGTATAAAAGATAGAGGGTGGCACGTACGGCACCACACAAAAATGTGGAGGATGCTATTGAGAATAAAGGTACGTGCAGTTGTGATGATGCAATTTGGCATCCGAATAAAACAATGAGATTGTTTAATTACCTTGGCTATTACTCCATTAGATTTTTAACAATAAAATCGGTTACATTTTTTTTTGTTTGAGTAGTCTGTTACAGTGCAGTGTCACCTCCCAAATAGGGAGCAACCTGGTGCAACCGTTATGCTGTGCAACCGTGTGCACCATGCATGGTGCACTCAGTTTGGATAACTTGTGACAACCTTGCCTGGCTATCAGGCGCTCCCCTCCCATATTCTCTTTTTTAATCTCACTTACAAAAACCCCTCAAATACTGCATTGAGGATCAACTACTATGAATGCTCTTATATTCTTATAACTTGAGTGTAATTTTTTATTTTATTTTATATATTAATACTATAAACTTAATATTATACGAAGTAAAAAAAATTAAATTAAATACTCCGTAATAAATAATGAAAGCAAACACATAAAAAGAGATGAGACGGATTGGAGTATATATTAATGTTTTGAGTGAGTCAATAAATTGGTAGCTAACAGTCTAACACTGATTCCTGACGAGGAAAACATCGACTGAAATTATTGTTCCTACGCCTGAAGGGGACTTGCCCTGAAGGTAATGTAATCAATTTACAGTGTATTGTATTGTATACACTTAACAATAAAACAATAATAAATAGTACAACAGGAACAACAAGTCATGCATCGCATCATGCACGGAAAGCCAATCTAAGGAAGGGGGATTCTTCATCAAAATAAATTTCCGAATACCACACCTGTCTTTCTTTCCGAGATTATCAGCATCAACATCAGGGTTGGTTTCCATCATCTTCGGCAATGTCAAATAAAAACTTCGGAAGAGAAGCAATGCGCGGAAGCTGAAACAACAAATCAGCAAACGAGTCTCTCCTTGGGATGCTTGCCGCCTGCCTACTGTCCTCTCCACCACACATCATGCTCCCGCTCCCAGTCTTAGCCTCCTCCTCATCATGTGAGGCGGCCACTACTCCAAAATGTTTTTCTTCATCAACCTGGGCATTGTTAATTGTGGCAGGATCCTGCAAGAGACAGCAAAGGGAATTCACCTTCTTCATCAGACATTTCTCATCCGAAGCTGCTGCTGCTGCAGATTGATTATCGCTCATCAAAATATGAGCAATGTTCTCCAGTATGCCCTGACACTCTGATGCCTGGTTGGAATGCATATTCCCCGAGTTTACCTGTTCCGAAATACAATTTCCTATATGGTTTACAAGGTCAGTCATTGACATTGATGGGCGAAGTCCAGTCACTTTCAATTGTTCCCAGCATTCTCGCCGTAGAGAATCATTTCCTTTGAGATTTCTTCCATTCCCTTCAATTGCACGGGTATCCATCACTACACAAAGCAATATTTTCAGCAAAAATTTTGAAATACACAACAATGTGTTGTATGTATTCATGTCAGTCAAACTCCATCTTCCAGACTGGAAACCACATTCTACACAAGTTGTAGAATAACTATATTTCGATGGTGTAACTTTCACTAAAATACGAGCAAGAGGACATGATATGATTGCAGACTTCCATATATTTAGTGACAACATAAATATATACCAATTAGGATTTGTGTATTAGATTTTTACAAATTATTATGATGTAAACAAAATATATCACTAATGCATTCCATGGTTATAGAAATATGCAGCAAGAACCAAAGTTGGATATGCTAACAGGAAAACATAGCAATTACAGAGCCCAATGCTGCAATTTCTCATTCAATGCATGGATAGACATTTACATTAAAAAAAACCATGGCATGCAACTTTAACATTGACAGTAAGACCAGATATGCTTCAAATACCACAGCTTATTTACCAACATTTAGACTACTTTAAAGTCATGCAGCAAAGTCTGATTTGATTAACTATGCTACATGTCATTAAGCTATAACATATTCCTCCAAGAAGATTCCAACCAAAGAAATAGGGTTAAAAAGAAAAGCAGAAAAAGCCATCACAATGTGGCAGATAAACTCAAAAATGCATTCAGTAGAGGTCCAACCTGAGCTGGGAGAAGGAGCATCCTTGGAAGAATGTTCAGGAGCTACATTGAGGAGATCTTGTTCGAAACTTATAGAAGATTGTCCTGCAGCTGGTGATGATGCTATACTTTGGACACCTGTGGTAGGAGATCCTTTAGCAGAAGAAAGTAGATTTAAACCATGGTCTTTGAGGTCATTAGAGTTTTCAACAGGAGAAGGTTGAGACTCAAAATATGGTGAATCCATTAATATTTCAGGCTGCTGACTCAAAAAGAGAAGTCGTGTATCACACATTATCAGCTTCTCAAAATGCTTATTCAAGACACCTGGTGGACACCGTAGGATGTGTTGCCTAATCAGACCACAAAAAAAAAAAAAATCTGTTACTGGCCAGATGACTACTTGAACACCAAATGGTGTTACATTTCCAAGGAAAAAGAAAGAGATAATAATGGCAAAGAAGCAAAGTACAGTAGAATTTGCCCAAAGATTCTTTATTAACCAATAAGTAAACTGGTCATTTCCAATCATTGCCTCAGAAACCACTAAGAAAAGTCATACACACACTTCACTGAAAAAATGCACTCCAGTTGAGCTTTTTAGTTAAATAAGAAAGACATACAAGTGTGATTAATTAAATAAATTAAAAAATTATATTATTTAAAAAAAAAAAAAAAACTTACGCAAATAAGATAAAAGCAAACTATTTGTATGCAGAGAAGAAAATGTAACTTGCAAAATAAAAAGATCACAGATGTAAAAAATTTACAAGAGAACATAAAAGATTTTACCCAATCTAATCATCTAACAGCATAAAAGAGAAGAATGTGGTTCACATCTTTACAAAGTTCTAAATGTGGAAATATAGAACTGCAATGAAAATGCAACAACAGGTATAGGCAACAAAACAAACAGAAAACTCTTCAGTTAATTATGCTCAAGCCTGAAGTAAACAAAAAAGCATGGTTGCAGTAGGCACTGGGCGCTAGTCGGGCGCCCTGGCAGCGCCTAGCACCTAAGCGGCCTAGTCGGCGCCTAGGCGGAATCTAGGCGGCACTAGGCGGTCGCCAAAAAAACAGTAGCAGACTTGCAATTTGACAATTTTAATGAGGCTGTTTTCAACATTCAATCAAATAACACATCCAAATAAATGACATAATGACAATTCATAAGTCATAACATCAAAAGAATATTTAAAAAAAAAAAAAAAACTCAAATGAAATACCCAAATACTTCAATCATCCAAAGATTGAAAGTATCAAACTAGTCTACGAGTGTATATATGTCATATAAATGGAAAAAATTAGCAAGGTCGAGTCGGTCGGGTTAACTCGACCAACTCGACAGAAATTGACAAGTTAACTCGGCGTAATCGGACGAGTTAGGCGCTAGGCGGGTGCCTAGGCGGCCGGTCTCCTAGGCGGGAGCCTAGGGGGAAATCGCCACGGCCTATGGGTGCCTAGGCGGGATTTTTACAACCCTGCAAAAAAGAACATCAAATGCATCTAAACAACTTTTGGCATTGCCATGCTAGAAATTTTGTATTATTTACCTATTTATGCTAGCCTGTCCATCAGTAAAATCTGTTGTTGCTTGCCAAAGAGTGTGCTTCCTGGGCTGTGGATTAGTTTCCCTGAAGAAAAGGGGTTGTCGAACCAGCTGAATCACAAGAAACCACTACTGTTAAGCAAAGTAACTCTACATGAGAACTGGGAAGTTATGCTGATTAGAGTATAAAAGAAAGAACAACCAGCATTACCACAACAGTTAAAGTGCCCGGAGCATCATCAGGACAGTCTGCTCTCAAGCCCATAATATCAGACCACTGTATCTCAATTTTACTCTTCAACCCACCCTCAAGAATTTCCCAAACAATTTTATGCTTAGCAAAGTAACACTTTGCAACCAAATCACCTTCATATCTTGACACATACTGCCAGATGCGTCAACATCAGACCAAACGTACAATATTTTAAAAATGAAAACTCAGAATAATACAGAAATTTTTTTAGTAAGATACCTCCCAGGAGCCTATCTTTAGAAGTGAACCACAGAAATTTGAGGCCTTCAATTTATCAGTTCCACTTGAAGTAGATGAACCCCGTTCTTCCTTCTTGCTTCCAGAGGTTTGATCACTTGAAGTAGGCAACATGGGTGAAGCATTGCTTTGTGAGAGTTTCATCTGGATCAAGTCCAACAGTGATGGGCTCTTTCTCAGCCTCAAACCCAAGGGGCTTGGCTCATCAAGTGGATTGTATTGTGAAGGTGGGATTTGGAATTCATTGCTTCCATTGCTCCACTGTTCAATAATAGCAAATATTAGCAAAGGTAAATGGAAATGTGGGAAATTTTCATTACATCTCAGAACGGAAATAGGGAAAATCTCTAATTCCTAAAACAACTATTATAGTAGTATTCCTAATCTAACAATATAAAACATTTGGTAACCTAATAATTTACTCCATACAACATTTCCAACCCAATGACTTAGTACATCCCACCACAGAGAGCAGTCTCTTGCACTTCTATCTCCCATTCTTTAACTTTGCTCTGTAACAAAGAGTTTCCTTGAAAATGCGTAACTACACACCTTGTAACAAACAAGGACTATATTCAACTTCAAATAAACTGCAAAATCTCTTTTTATCTTGTTCTATTTTACTTATTTTCCCTTGTTTTTAATTTTGGTAAAACAAATTAAATCAGGCTGGTCAGATTTAGAAATCATAAGAAATTTTCATAAAAATTAATAAATCAAATTAGCTAAAGCACTTCATATCTGGACCAAACATATCACAGCCTACAATTGTTAGTCCCATTTCAGCTTTTCTCTTTTTCCTGGTACCAAATAGCTTTTTCAGTTTCTTTCTGAGCTTTATTAAAAATATATATATATATTAAAATTACAAAAGCACAACTAGAGAATAAGAGTAGTCAAATTTGCAACTCGTTTAGCTGTAAACATATCATGTACTAAAACAATAACAGCACAAACTCAGATCTTTCTAGGGGAAAGCGCGGATTTATATCTAAACACAACTTCAAGCACTCAAAAATGTAATCAAGTTCCGGAAAAGAAAAACAATAAAATTTAGGCGGAAATGTCAAGAAATCTAACTATCAGGAAAATGAAAGACCTGATCAGATGACAACGAGGAAGAACCAGAAAGCCTCGATCGTTTACTGAGAGGTGCATGCTGGTCTTCAAGAGGGTCCTCGATCTCCAGTTTCACTGCCCCAAACGATGCCATTTCCACTAAAGACTTAATCGACTGAACAAGCGAACCAAAATCAAGTTTCCCGAAAGCAAACTGAAAACTGAAATTGTGAACGAGAACTGAAATTCAGAGGACCGAGAAGAGTAATTGGGGATCAAATTAATTGGATTTCAAGTAGAGGAAGAATTGAATAATCCAAAAACCCTATGTGAAAAATAAAAGGAAAATGATCCCTGCTTTCTGTGAGAATTGCAAAAGTGGAAAAATTATGTACACGTGCTTTATAGTACGACCCATTGAAGGAAAAAAATCTACAAATTTTATTACAATTTCATGCTAAAATTAGAATTAATATTTTATGCACCGCCGATGTATAGATGTTATACACTGATGGTGAATGAGAAGATAACATATCATTAAAAAACAAAGTCAATATTAATTGAGTCTATTTTTAAAAATATATATTTTATTAAAAATTTTTTTATTTTTAATTAACAAAATATATCTTCTTTTCTAAACATATTTATTACTTAATTATTATATATCTAATTTCCTACACATTTTTAACACACTGAATTATTATATTTAAGTAATTCATGTTTTGTGCAAATAGATGATTAGATAATTATAATTAAGAATTCTTTACTTTAAATTATTATAATTAAGAATTCTAATTGGTATCTACAAATCATATCTAATTGATCTGAATTTCTAAATTATTATATTTATAATTAAGAATTCTTTAAATTTTTCTTTTTTTGAAAGAGGGAATTCTTTAATTTTAATTAACAAAAATAATTTAATTTCCTAATGGGAGGTGAAAGGTTCGAACCTCACTTGAGGCAAGTAGTGTGTATATAGGGTATCCCCTTCCTTATAATAATAATAAAAAAATATATATATTTTGTTAATTAGAAATAAAAGAGTTTCCTAATAAAATACAAATTTTAGATATTTTATAAAAAAGAACCTGATTAATATTGATTTTGTTTTTAATGATGTGACATTTTTTCTTTTACTGTCGGTGTATAGCATCTATACATCGGCGGTACTTAAGAGCAAAAATGGTAAATAATTTATTAGTTTTCGAATTTAATAAAGGCTCCATTTTTGGAAATGGACGGATAGAATCATGGAAATATGGAATCCCTTGAGAACGAGTAGTTGTAATAAAATGTGTTTGGGTGGTCCCTTCTTACCAACCATGTTTCCTGAAGCATTTTCAATGTGTTCTATTCTTAAACCCAACGGGGTAGTTCAAGTGTCATTTGAGCTCTTTTTTTAGGAGAGAATTCTGAAATAATCCGCGTTCAATTCTCACAGGTGATATTCCCTTTGAACCTGCTCTCATACCTCCCGAAGCGAATAATCATTACACGAACAAAGACTCAGACCACCTCATATTTTACACAAAAAAAAAAAAGAAAAAGAAAAAAAAAGAGCATTATATTCTTATATTTTCCTTTGAAATTTCATGAGTTAGTGACTGAAAATCTAAAAATATAGACCACCAGCTTCAATTAAATTAATACGGAGTATTATTTTAAAAGATTAGTTTGATTGAGGTAAATAGCTGCATTTCTAGCTATTTAAGTGTGGAGGGAAAAAAAAAAAGAAATAAAAGGTAAATTTTCATTAGTAACTTTAGATAATTAGGATTTTAAAAAATAATATATTATTTTTAATACATATATTAACCAAAAAAAAAAAAAAAAAAAAAAAAAACACCCTTCATTGAGAACTTGATGACTCAAAAGTCATAACACATATTGATGACACATAACACAAACACTAAATTCGTTAGATGTATATCGTCTTTGGAGGTGTTAGAATAAGTTATTATTATGTATTGTTATATAGCTTGCCTAGTCATAAGCCTATTAGTTAGGCTTCTCTTCTGATTGTATTTATTGTATTCAGAGTTTGTTATTCAATGAATCAATCCTTTCCACGCTCATCTGGTATCAGTTAGCCAGTTAGGATTCTCTCTCCTCCCATTATCGATTCTCTCTTCCGTTTTTCGATCATGTCGCAGAGTTCCTCCGAGCGCACCCTCACCGCCACCACCGTTTCTTCCCCAAACACTAACCCAAACTCCCTAAATAGTGCACACCATTTTGTGTCACTAAAACTTACCAATCGCAATTATTTGTTTTGGAGGACGCAGCTCATCCCGTTCCTTCGCGGGCAGGGATTACTCGGGTACGTAGGTGGAGGACATCCGTGCCCATCGCCGGTTTTGGAGCTCCCCGCCGGCAGCAACTCCGGAGACGCTGCTTCCACGACGTCCAACCCTGCCTACGCCGCATGGGTGCAACAGGACGCTTGCACCACTTAACCTATTGAATACTCCATACTAAGAGCATCTACAAGGGGCACGCCATTGCGCTATAATGGAGAGCAAAATGGCGTGTCATTGCCCAACGACGCTTCATTGCACCAAAATTTTGGTGTAGCATGAACATTTTCATCTCTCACCATTTGACGTTGCACTGTTCATCTCCTACCAAATTGATAATTACCCTTAATTTTATCTTGAAAAATATCAGCATACGCATGACAAACGAGTTGATTTTCTTCAGTAGAATATGAAGAAGTTCGAATTCTGTGTGGCTTGGACATTTTTCCAAAGAAAATGGAGAGGAATATTGAATACAAATAGTTATATGAATGGTTAAGAGAGGGAGCGAGAATTCAAAGAGTTGTGGTTTTATTATGTAGAGGTAGTGTACTATTATATAGATTGAAAGCAAATACCTTTGTGATCTAATCCAACGGTTGAAAATAATTGTCTTTTGAGATTTGGGAAAGATATAATGTTAGATATTGGATTGTGTGTTAGAAAGATATGCATACCAATTAAGGGCTAAGAAGGTTGTGAACTAATCCAACGATTGAAACTAATTGTCTTTTGTGATTTGGGAAAGATATCATGTCAGATATTGAATTGTGTGTTGGAAAGATATGCATACCAATTAAGGGCTAAGATGGTTGTGATATATGCCAACGGTTGAAAATAATTGTCTTTTGGGATTTGGGAAAGATATCATGTTAGATATTGGATTATGTGTTCGAAAGATATGCATACCAATTAAGGACTAAGATGGTTGTGATCTAATCTAACGGTTGAAAATAATTGTCTTTTGGGAATTGGGAAAGATATCATGTCAGATATTGAATGGTGTGTTGGAAAGATAGATGGTTGTGATCTAATCCAACGGTTGAAAATAATTGTCTTTTGGATTTGGGAAAGATATCATGTCAGATATTGGATTGTGTGTTGGAAAGATATGCATACCAATTAAGGGCTAAGATGGCTGTGATCTAATCCAACGGTTGAAAATAATTGTCTTTTGGGATTTGGGGAAGATATCATGTCAGATATTGGATTATGTGTTGGAAAGATATGCATACCAATTAAGGGCTAAGGTGGTTGTGATCTAATTCAACGGTTGAAAATAATTGTCTTTTGGATTCGGAAAAGATATCGTGTCAGATATTGAATTGTATGCTGGAAAGATATGCATACCAATTAAGGGCTAAGATGGTTGTGGTCTAATCCAACGGTTGAAAGTAATTATCTTTTGGGATTTGGGAAAGATATCATGTCAGATATTGGATTATGTGTTGAAAAGATATGCATACCAATTAAGGGCTAAGAGGTTGTGGTCTAATCTAATAGTTGAAAAATAATTGTCTTTTGTGATTTGGAAAAGATATCATGTCAGATATTGGATTGTGTGTTGGAAAGATATGCATACCAATGAAGGGCTAAGATGGTTGTGATTTAATCCAACAGTTGAAAGCAATCGTCTTTTGGATTTGGAAAAGATATCATATTGATATATATAAGTACATGACATCTAAACTTATCTTGCATCCTTTCATCATAGCAATCCCGAGATATGAATCCCCCACACACATTTTCATCCTCACCCTGACAACCATCTTCATCCTCGCAAGAGGATGACAATCATCTCATTGCTACAATACAATCACAACAACAAGCACTACTAAGTATGCTCGCAACAACGTTGTCATGACTTACTGTTTGGAGATTATGTCTACTCAAGTCATCAACTCAACTACTCAAGTCATGGATGTTCAATTCCCCATCATAGAGTGATTCACCGTGAGCGTGTAGATGGTGATCGAAGATTACATGTTGATTATTTTTCAAAAAATTGAAAATATAATGAAGCAATATTTCGTAGATGATTTCGAATGAGTCGAAATTAACCTTAGGTTGTTTTCAAGTTTGAAGACCTCAAGGCATACATTACTTTGATAGGATTTGCCAAACCATCAAGATGAATGTGGTACTAATGGGCAATAGATGCAATTAACCTTAGGTTGTTTTCATTCTCTTTGAGGGATCAAGCCTTAAGTTGGTTAAATTCATTATTATTTAACCACGTTGTTACATGGGATCAACTTTACAATGCTTTCATGCAAGAATATTGTCCCCCATCTGAAGCCATCAAGCTCGAGAAATAAGTGTAAAATTTTCAACAATTTGGCAACAAAAGTTCATATGATGCATGAAAAAGGTTTAAAGACTTGAGAAGGCAATGTCCCAGAAATTTGCTTACACCAGGAGACTTCATTTCTTCATTCTATGAGTGACTTTTAGACAACTCCAAGGCTATCCTATACACATCTTCTCTGGGATGAGTACTCATAGACATGGCACCGGAGATGGGTGAACAAATGATAGAGATCATCTCGGCTAATACCACATATTGGCCTCACCAAAAAAAAAAAAAAAAAAAAAAAAAAAAAAAAAACACATATTGGTACAATGAAAGGGCCAACCCACCAAAGAATGAGAGACCTTCTAAGATGTTTGAGGAATTGAGGTAGAGGAGAATATGGCTTTTCAAGCACAACTTAATGTTATTCAACATATGTTCAATCAAGTGGTGCAAGGAACCAATCAATGAGTTCAATTGGTTGAGTGGTTGACACCTCTCTCGACAATCAAGCTCAACAATGTCAACCCTCTATATCTTTTAGCCCTAAAAATATGGCTACGGTAACTCGTTCTGTCATTTGTGGAGGCTACCATGCATCTCAATCATGCTATCTCTTGGATTCAAATGCCTATATTCTTACCAAAATTATTGAGCAAATATAGATGTGGTGGGGTATGCTAGACAAGGCCAAGCCTATGGAGGGTACAACCAACAAAATAGAGGTCATATGGACTTCTCTTGGAGCAACCCCATAGGGGCCGCAAACCCAAGTTCTCTATCTAAG